ACTGTAATACATCAGCAGCATTTGACACAGATGAAGACACCCTCCTTCCTCTTCAAACAATACACTGGACTTCCAGGACCTCTTGATATCCTTTCACCATTTGCCTCCTGCCTTCCAAGTACTCAACTGGTCTCACGCACAGTCTGGTTCATTTTCATTTCAGTAGATAAAAGTTCTACACTCTGAACTGTTCAGAACAAAAACTCTTGAACTGCTCAGAACCATTTCTGGTGTACTCCTAATCCCTCAGCAAACCCTGTAAGTTTTCTTTGTTTCTTTGTTTTCTTTTCTTTTTCTTTTTTTTTTTTCTTTTCTTTCTTTTCTTTTCTTTTCTTTTCTTTCTTTCTTTCTTTCTTTCTTTCTTTCTTTCTTTCTTTCTTTCTTTCTTTTCTTCCTTCTTTTCTTCCTTCCTTCCTTATCATATGTTTGTAGTACATAATGTACATAATGTTTAGATTTGTTGTGGAGAACTGATATAGGTACATATTACATCTGAATTTCTTTTCCTTCCCTTCCTCTCCCCTCCATCCATCTCTTGATCTCCTTCCTTTTCCCTTTTTTGGATATGTTTGCAATATGCATAATATTTACATGCCTTGTGTGGAGTTGGTACATGTATATAACACATCTTAATCTCTTTTTACATTCCTTTCCCTCCCCTCTCACCCACTTCACTTGCCTCTCTTCCTATTTGAGAAAAGTCTGTCTCCCCTGACATGATCTCACCTCATTGTTTCCACTGTTGTCATCTCAGTTTGAATCACGACTATCTTTCAGTGACGAGTACTGCCATAGTTTTCTAACAGACCCTTGTGTTTCTGATCTTGTCTATAACCTCTTCTCCCCAGTCATCCATTTTTTTCAACATAGCAACCACAGATTCACATTATGGTACTCTTCCGTGTCAAACCCTAACAGCTTCCTTCCTGACTCAAAGCAAAAGCCAGTGTTATTACAGTGGCCTTTGAGATCTCAACTCTTAGGTTAAATGTCTGATATCATCTCTTATTTTTTTCCTTGGTCACTTCATTCACTTGGCCTTTCTACTGTTTCCAAGTATCAAACAAATTCCTTCCTCTAGGTCTTCACCCTGAGAGTCCCTTTTCTAGTCTGTTCTTTCCCTACATATCATGATGCCTTGCTCTGGCTCTTCTTTTATGTTTTCCCTCAAATGTTACCATCTCATTCATATTTTTCATGAGCACTCTAAAATTTCAGATTACTTCCATTATACCCCGGCACTTTCTATTCTCCTCATGTCTAGTTTTTCATCATGATGTGTATCACATACTTTGCATTTTATTCCGTTATTATTAGCTTGTATCTCATCCCACAGCAATGCAAGTACCATGAGTGCTGAACCTAGAGAGCACATACTCCCAACATGTACAGTATCTACTGAATGAAAAAAGAAAGAAAAGGTGGATCAAAGCTTTCTTGTGTGTTAGAGCTTGTCTCCTTACTAGTTCCTGAACCTTAGCCTTTACTTCCCAATCTTTGTCATATTTAAGAACAAGAGATGACAAGCTGAAGAAACTCAGAATGAGCTGAGAGTGGTGACGTACACTTGCAATGCCAGCTACTTGAGAGGCTGAGGCATTATAAGTTTGAGGCCAGTCTGACTTTGTGAGACCTTGACTCTAACTGAATGAACGAATGCCTTAAGATTTAGCCCTGTGCTTGTGGGCTCAATCCCTACTACCACAAAAAGGAAGAAAAAAGAAAAGAGGGAAAGAAAGGAAGAACAAATGAAAGAGCAAGAGAAAGAAAGAATCTGAAAAGTGGGGAGAAACAAGGAACAATGTAAGCTTGAAGGAGGAGAGCAGGAAGCAGACCGATAGGAACAGGGAGAGTAAGAGGCCACTGTGATGGGATAAACGAAGAGAGCAGGGAAAACAAGGGAGAAAACTAACTCTGGCATACTCTTTTTGAATAACGGCTTCATTACATCTGCAAAGATTACCAAATACACCCTGAGGACTTCAGTACCCACTCAGACCTTTCTTGTTCTATGGAAATGTGCATGGCAGTTCAAATTAAGATAACTTGTGAAGGAAAAAACAAAAAAAGTACACCTAGCTCAACTACAGTACTTTTTCCTGGATGAAGTATGTTTTTGGGTTTGACAATCAGCAATGGGACCCAAAAGGTCAAAACCATACTAGCACTTCAGTGACCATTATTGCAAAGGGCGGAGCTCTCAGGACCGCTGTCAGTGTGATAGGGTAGCTTATCTTCTGCTCACCCAGGATTTACCCTCCCATTAGAGATTAGAGTACAGGTGTATATGAAAGAGATCAACACCAGCACCACAAGAAGAAGAGTCAACATAAATGGAATTACTCCAAATCCTATATTCTGTAGTACAAAAAGGTGGTGCTATACTTTTCACTGGCCAGGAAGCTATGAAAGTAAAAAACTACAAGTACTGTGTAACTTCTTGTTAAGTAAGTTTTCTGACACATGGCAACCAGTGATTAATTACTATGTTAGAAGATAACATTCCTGTAGAGATTTGCAGAAATACAGATGCTGTCCACGCCTGATTAGACATTGCTTCAGGAATGCTGAGGCACAGTGCAGCAGTCTATTATTTCTGGCTATTTTGGTATTGCTGTTATATTTATTTTACATAGCTTCAAATTCTGTACAATTGATGGGGCTCATTTCACAAAACCTGTCTCTACCAAAAACAAGGAAGGAAAAAAATAAGGCTATAAAGTATGTCTGTATGAAAGCAACAGAAAATGAGAAAGGTACTATGAACAGTAGGGCTACATTATTACTTTTTGCAATGCTTTCTGCTTATAAAAAAAGAACTGCAATGGAGATGCTTTGTTTTTTATAACTCTACAAGAAAACTGACCAGATCAGCTGATTATGAGCTTCAGGGTATTAAAGATAAACTAACCCATCAGTATCCAAACCTTCAAAAACACCAAAGTAAGCTTTGCTGTAATATCAATATTCCTTCAGTACATATAATGATCATTTTCTCTGATTCAGGAACTGAAAAAAACAGTTCTAACTTCTTGAGGCTTACCATCTATTTCTTTTTTTTCTTTTTTTTGAGGCTTACCATCTAGATGGAGTATATCATCTAGTAAGAAGATGTTTTCTGAACCAGGATTGGAAGGGCATAATCTTCCAGTGCTGTATGTTTATCTTCACCTATTTTCTTTCATAACTCATTAAGAAGAGTAATAGTGTAAGCACCTATCCTGAGTGGTCACATAATTCACAAATCCAACTATGAAAAACGTGACCTGCTTGCCATTCAATCTTATTTTGAAGAAATGGTTCATTGGAACATGGCCCACTAAGGCCAATCTCAATATCACCCAGTCAGCATTTCATGATTCAGATGCAGCTTTTCTAGTATGTGTTTCAGCCCTGTACTGTCTGCCAAGAACTGTGTTAATTTACTTATTTCAGCTAAATAAAAAAATCATTTAAAAAACGATGATTGAATTTAGGAATTATATTCCTCAGAGAATTAGTAATGGTTCTCTGTATCCCTCAGGCCTTCATGTTCTTAACTTCTTCTTGTCAATGTTATTATGAATAGACTAATTCAATAATGAGATCATTTCCCATAAGAGCAGCCAAATAAATGCAGCGTTCAGTCACACCTGGTTTCCCTAATCTGAGCAAGGAAGACTTTGCACCAAATTTAGCTTAAAACACAAAATTTCATAAAAACTACACACACACACACACACACACACACACACACACACACACTTTCCTGCCAGTAGAAGAAAAAAAGTAAGGGAAGCAGAAGGGCAGAAAAGTAGAACAGGATAGTAACACAACAAAAGGAAGAGTAGACTGGGGAAGAAATGAACACATATGGCTCATTTTCAGAACAAAGGTTCTCACATGTACATCTTCATAGTTGTCAAAGTAATGGAATATGTTATCATCCTGTTAAATACTTCAAGAATTGTTTTAATTTTTCTGAACATTTCAAGAATCAAAAAATCAAATGAAAACACACTGAGTAATAAATAGGCAGAAGCATTCTGGACTATCTCTGACAAATGATTTCGTAGCCACAAAAGCTTCTGGAAAATGAAAAGGTTTATGGAATAATCCACCAGGTATAACCAGCAACAGAACACGAGGAGCACCATAATTATCATCCACTTTCTTCAAAGCTGTTTAAACTTTCATTAAAGCACAAAAGGTTGATTGTTTGAAATATAAACAGTGTTAAAGACCAAATGAAGAGAAAACAAAATTAACTCTCAAATTTGAAAAATGTCTCATAAGAAAAACATTAAAAATTGAGATCAGCAAACCTAGAGAAGGGAAGTGGGGGTGATGAATAACCATTTTCTCCCAGTAGAAACATCAAAAAGAGATGGGTTTCAATGGGAACAGATAGAAGAGGTGACAAAATGAGTTCAACACTTGTTATTTACCATGAAGAAAGAAAAGGAAAATATTACAAATGGTTAAAATATAAATGATGACTCCTTTACACCATGGGATATCTGTTCAGGTATTAATAGGAATGTTTTCAAGAAGTTTTAATGAACATTACAGATATTAGAAAATGTAACTAAAATTACACTAACACAGTTCCAATTTTGTTAAGAGAAATATACGGCGACATATGTAAAAAGACACATACATACAGATGTGCAGCATAAGCCAGGACAAAGTATACTAAAAATCATGTTCTCTTAATCAAAGACATGAGCAATGTTTAGATTCATCTTTATATAGTATCTTACTATTTTATGCAGTAAGATGATATTACTTTATACTCAAAAAAAGTCACAAAAGCTTATAAGTAAGAAGAATTTAGACAGTGGGAGTAACCACTTCCTTAAGGAATGTTGAACATTCAACAGAATTTTGCAGAATTAACTTTTCTATCAGCTGAGAACATCTATCTCTTTCTAATTCTTTTTTAAAAAATAAGCTCTTAAGTACCAAGAATCTATTCTTATTCTTGGGTACAAGAACCTGAGCTCAACCCTTCCTCTTACCGTGCAAAGTCCAGGTCTGCCTCCCGTGACATGGTGATGTTGGTCAAATTCTGCTGAAGAACAAAGATGTTTCTACACATTTTCTTGATGCCAGACTCACTGATGCGTCTGAAGTACTGGGCACCGTTAATGAGGATACAGGAGATGAGGTGTCCCAGGCCTGAAGGGTCAGCACAATGTCATGGGGAGGAAAGAAGCGTAGATTAGTGGCACTGAGCAGAAATTTGCACACAGGATTGCTCTTTTCTCATCCTCCACAAATTTCAGTCACAGAAAACATATTTTATGGCAGCACCAGTTCATCTTACAGCAATTTCAGAATATTTCTACATAGTCCTAGTGATTAGAAATGGGAAGACTGTGTTGTAAACACAATCCACTATATCCTTAGTACCAGTATTGGTACATTCACCCAAAGCTATTATACTAAGGGCTTGCAGAATATGCCTGGTTGTTATAGACTATTAACATCCACAGCAACTCCTGCCTTTATGTGCAGGTATTTGAAAAACAACAAAGAATGCATGTACATATATCTGTTTGGCCTGTTTTTGCATGACACATGTACAAACATCTGTATGGCTTCTCCCTCCTCCCACAAAACACAAAAAAGGATACTTTTGGCTGAAAAGCTGATTAAGAACCTAAAAGAGTAAAAATAAATCAATACAAATGGGAGCACTGGCAGTAATACTAACCAACCATAATACTTCTTAGTAAAAATCAAGCAATAAAAAAATGTTACTGGTAATAATGCTAATATACCTCAGCACTGGCAATGATAATAGAAGATAGTGTAATGAAATGTAAAGTGCAACAGAAAAGCACATCACGGAGCCGCTGAGTTCCCATGAGACATCTCTGGACATTTCTGTGGTTCTATAAGTGGTCTGTTTTCCCATGTGAAGGACTGCTACACAGTCTACAAGAATTGGCAGAGGGGAGCACAGGACACCAATAAACCTAATAGGTTTTCTTCAGGATGTCCCATGTAGCTAAAATGCGGTATGCTGGTTCAAGTAAAAGTGAAGTACATATGTGTTATCATTTTTAAAAGTTAAATTCAATGCTAAATACTTGGAAGTAAGTAAATGTTCATTTTTTTCCTTATTCTTCCAAAGTTCGCCTGTAGCAGGACATTTTATGTAGAACTCTAAAGCTAGTATGACAGGTTACAGGCAGCCTACTATTTTTTGCTGTTTTCCTCTCTGGGGTCATAGTCTTCATGGACACGAAGGTTCAGATTGGGGTGCAGAGCACATCTTCAGCTTCAGTGGCTTCCTCTGTTTACAACATATGTTTCTTCTTGGTTGAAATGAAAGTAGAAAAGGGAGAGGAAGATGCATTCTCTTTTGCTTTAGCTACACTTACCCAGCATTGCGTTAGTATCACAAACTTGGCTGTGATACCATTTAAAGTGGAAAAAAAAAGAGGTTTTTACTTCAAAAAAAAAAAAAAAAAAAAGAAAGAAAAAAAAAAGGAGCACAACTGTGAATTCTACATTTAAAGCTAGATTACTCGTATTTATGTTAAAAATCTCTCTAGGTCAACTTCTGCTGTTATTCTCCTATGCCAATACTGTAACTTCAGGTATATTTTTGTTCTATGCTGATATAATGTGGTCTGCTCAAAGTGTAAGCAATGAGAGGACTGCATTGTTTGTAGAGAATAAGAAATCATAATTTCTAAAAAATAAATTTTATCATATGAGTAATATAGATGTTGTTATGTAGCGCTGGGAAAAGCCAAGGTTCAAGACGAAGCTCTGTGAATTTCGGAAAGAGTGGCTGCAGAGACTTAAAGATGCCACCAAATTCGTAATGCCACGGGCTAGCACTAGCCCTTTAATCACTTCACTTTTTGGCTAAAATCTCCTTCAGAACACATCTCCATTTTTGACTTCATCTTTATAACTGAACAGGAAGTGGGTTTTCAGAGGGTCCAAAGTTGCTGTAACACAATTTTTTCATAAAACAAGAACTGGTCATGCACTGACATTGTCCTCTCTTCCATTTGCCAAAAATTCCCCTTTTATTGATAATTTTAGCTAATGAAACATTTTTCAGGGTTCTCTTGTATGTGTGTTTTATTTCTTTTTAACAAGCAACTTGAGTTAATTTGTGGTCCATTCTGAATATTTATTCAAATCCTTTGACAGTGTACCTTCTTAATTGTCTTAAATAACGCTGATTTAATTCTGTGTGAGAACAGATACTTTTGGTACCCAAGTCTATGTTTAACCAAATTAAAGTAAGTACAAAGGGAATATAATTTGAAATCTTAACAGGTGTTTTCTGTAGTTCAAATACTTGACCCCCAAAAGCTTGTGTGGTGATGGTTTGGTTCACAAGTTGGCACTGTTGGAGGTCTTGAAAACTTAGATGGTGGGGTGTAGTGGGAGGTCCTCAGGTCACTAGGGGTCCACCCTTTGGGGGAAATATGGGACCTCAGCCTCTTCCTCTCTCCTTTTGCTTCTGGCCATGAGGTGAACAGCTGGCTCTGCCACTTGCTCTCTGCCATTACCTTCCTCACACCCATGAGAAGTCCACAAGCAGTGGGTTCACTTGACCATGGGTTAGAACCTCTAACACCGTGAGCTGAAATAAACCCTTTCTCTTTATAAGTTAATTATCTCAGGCATTTTGCTGCAGTGACTGGGTCCTGTGAATGGAATTCAGCATGAAAAATTATTTTGCCTGGCACTACATTGTAGAACACTTTGAAGGCAAATGTCTTTAGATAGCACTGCCTCTTCACACACTCCTTGCCTGCTGCTAATCATAGGCGTCTGTGCTTTTGCAGCAAAATGCTTTCTATGAGAGAAAACTTTCCCTTCCACTGATAATTTTAGCTAATGAAACATTTTTCAGGGTTCTCTTGTACGTGTGTTTTATTCCCTTTTAATAAGCAACTCTTGAGTTAATTTGTGGTCCATTCTGAATATTTATTCAAATCCTATGAATAGCCTGTCAAGGTAGGCAGCCAGGCGCCATCTGTATTATCTTGGATTAAATCTCCCAATCAACCAGGAGCAGATGGCAGCCATATTATCTACCTAGTCATACACAGAGGCTAGGTACTGCAGCTGTAGTCCAAACGAGCAAACAACTTTTCCCTACAAGTTTTGAGCTTCAGTATTTCAGAAAATTAGGAAAACCTTCACCCTTTCTTCCTCCCAAACTCCCCGAGACAGAGACAGGGCCTGACCTTCAAAGATATACTGAAACTTGTGTTGCTGAAGGCTGGCACTCATAGCCTCTTCAATGGCACTGATATCTTTGTTGAGCTTGACCACCAGAGGGTCATAATCCATGCTCTCCACATTGGCAACAATGGCATAGTTCCCCTCCTTTGCTAGAGGAATGAGATAGTGGAAACAGTGAACTCTGAAAAAGAGACAGGGACAGCAGTTAATAATAAATCTCTCCAGCAAAGATAATGATCTTCTGTGACAGAGCATCAAAATATTTGAAGCATCAGTGGTTTCATAAATTTTTATGTATCCTTCCAACCTTTCTCAATCGGAAAGCCATCTTAGTTCTTCTACAGAACTGAGTGATCTGGAGCAACTGTGTCATATAATCTTTGCTTGTTTATCCATACAGTGCTGGCAAGGAATGGATGAGTTCTAAAGGTCTTTCTAATGCCAGGATTACATGCACAGTGCAAAAACCATATTTTTCAACAGATGTTGACAATGAAAGGCAGAGGTCACAGATCCACCAAATACAGGCTTTTGTGGGAGTCTACCGGTTTTGAAACCCAGTTCCAACATTTACTAGCTGTGTGACTTTAGGCAAGCTACTTTACCTTTCTGTGCTTCAATTTTCTTATCTGTGAAATGGGGACAGTGATACCTCCTACCTCATGGAGACTGTGAGGAACTACTACATATAAGGTGTATGGCACAATGACGGGCCTGAAGAAAATGCACAGTAAAGTGTTGACTGTCATTACTAGTACTATTTGTTTTTCTGCTAAATTACTCCCTACATCACTTACTGACCACCTATGACTTTGTTAGAAGGTGCCAGGGAAATGGGTCATGGGATGTTAGGAAAGGTTCATGACAAGAGGAAATACTGCGTCTCAGAACACATTTGAGTGAGCATGAGGAAGGAGGGCATCTCTGTGTTGAAAAGGTCTGATTTATGAATATTTCTTAGGTTCCTTTGGTTGAAATTGGTAACTGCCAAAGAAGTCGACCTCCACAGCCCACTTAAATTGTAATGAAAGCCAAATTGCTATAAAAATTCTACCACACATACATCTATACTGAAAACAACCTCAAACCACCCGCCCCAAAACAAAAAACTCCAAACCAACAACATGTATTGACAGGCACAATTCAGTCTCTTCCTGTAAGCTCAGGGAAGTCTTAACTCTTGTCTGTTTTAAGTACTCTGTCTTAAATGGAGGGTTTGGGCCAGAGATATAGCTCAGTGGCACAGCGCCTGCCTGGCAAGTGCAAGGTCCTGAGTTTGATTCCCAGTACCCCACAAAAAATTGAACGAAGGGTTCATTTGAGGTAGACATGAACTTAATTCAGAGTCAGGGTTTTATGATCCAGAGGACTGACATCAGATAAAAAGTATCCCTAAATAGATGACCACAAGGACCTTGGGAATTACAGTATTTATAATGATACATTAACAAGTTTGCCTATCATCTTTCTTTTCTTAAAGTTGGGTTCATCAAGAAATAAGTTATAGTAAAATTCCACCCCCATCAGCATACAGAATTATTAATTTTAACAAATGCATATGTTCTAACAACGACCATCATAGTCAAGTTATAGAAAATGGCCACCATCCCAAATTCCCTCGTGTCCCTATGCGTTAATCCCTACCATGCCTTTGGGAATAACTGGTCTATTTTTATCCTTATAATTTTTGTCTTTTTCAAAAAGTCATATAAAGGGAATCATATAGTATGCAGCCTTTTGGGTTTGTCTTCTTTCACTTTGTATAAAATATCTGAGATTCTACTCTGTTATCATTCATTCCTTTTTCTTGCTGAATAGCTTTCCACTGCATGGTGGAGGGTTCATCCATTTATCCAACCTCCAGTTGATAATAAGATGATTTCTAGTCTGGAACAGCTATGAATAAAGCTACTCATGCACAGATTTTTATGTAAAAATAAATTTGCATTTCTTTGGGGTGAATATTTATATGTGGGATTGTCATATCATATGGTAAATGTACATTTACCATATGTACCAGAGATTGGCAAACTGCCATTCAAGGGATCCATGCCATAGTGATTTCCTACCAGCACTATACAAGAGCTCTATCCAGTTGCTCTATATCTTCTTCCGCACACAGTGTGTCTATTTAAAAAAAGTTTTATTCATTTTAATAGATGTATCTCATTGCTGTTTTAATTTGCATTTTCTTAATGACTAATGATGTTGAGCATTTTTCATTTTCTACCTATGTATCTGTTCATATCACTTGGCCAAGACCTTAAAAATTGGGTTTTTTGATTTCTTATTAGATTTTTGAGGGTTATTTTTATCTTCTGGATAAAAGTCCTTATTAAACATTTGACAAATATTTTTACTCAGTCTTTGGCTTGTCTTTTCATCTTTCAAAGATTTGGTTTTTAATTTTGATGAAATTCAACATTATTTTTTCTTTAATGATGGTGTTATATTTAAGAAGTCTTTGTCAAAATAAAGCCATAAATTTTTTCTCCTACATTTATTTCCAGAGGTTTTAGAAATTTCATTCTAAGTTTTACAATAGTTTTTTTTTTTTGCTGCGGGGTGATGCTGGGAATCAAACCCAGAGCTTTGCACACACTAGGTATATACTCATCTCTGAGCTATAGCTTCCAGGTTCTATGATCCATTTTGAAATAGGATTTTGTGGAAGATGTGTGATGGTCTTTGTCTTGGTTGCTTTTCTCTTTTTGCTGAGAGGAAATACCTGACACCCAAAATGAAGGAAGGAAAGGTTTATTAAGCTCAGTTTGTAGAGGTTTCAGGTCATAATCAACTTGCTCGAAGGCAGGGTGGTATGGTAGAGAAGTAACAGCTCACGGTGGCAGAAGACAGCAAAAGCAACAAGAGCAAAAAGGAAGGAGCACAAGAAAAGGCTCTGTCCCTTACATTGTATGTAGGCTACCCACCCGAGGGTGGGTGTAGCACTCATACCCATAGTCTCAGCACTAGACAATGAATCAATCACAAACTCTAGATTCAGCCACCTCTGAAAAACACCTCCTTCATGACTGCATGAGGCTTTGGGGGGACTTCCAGACACAAACCATAACATTCTTATTACCTGTTCATGCAAGAGAATCTAAATATCTTAGCTACTGTTCCTTATCACTGACTGGTGCTCACTTTAACAGTCATTAATTAACCAAACACTAATTTCACCAATTAAAACTCATTCTAACATTCACGTGCTGGTTGCAGTTCCCTCTCAAATGTGATCATTGTTCTGATATGGTGAAAGCTGACCAGCCCTGAAATGGGATTTATAACTAAGGTAACTGATTGCTACTGTGGCACAAATTTTAAATAAAGTAGAATTTAGTTGCCATAAAATCATCTATGCTAAAGCATTTTAAAAATAAATTATAGACAGTATCACCCCAGACAAGAGAAAGACCATGTAAACAGGCCCAAGGATGGTTCTGAGGAATGGCCAGTAGTTCTTTTCTACTACACAGAGATCACATGACAGAGGTATGAGGTGAGCTTGGGGAGCTGCCCAGAGGTCAGGACATCTCAGGCTCTAGAAGTCATGTAAGGTGTTTGGACTTCATTCTAGAATCCATAGGGAGCCTTAGGGAAATTTTAGATGGTGAAATGATATAGTTAGATGTGAGCTTTACAGGATTAGTCTGGAACAGCGTAAGAGTGGATAGATGAGCCTGGTGTGGGGCACATACCTGTACCCAAGAGGCAGAGGCAGGAGGATCACAAGTTTGAGGCCAGCATGGGAAATTTAGTGAGATCTTGTCAGGAACAAAATGCTAGGGATGGAATTAACTGAGGGTAGAGGGACTGGTTAGAAAATTCTTATGCATTGCAGGTGAGAATTTATGAGATCCTAATACTAGTGGTAGAGAGGAAAGACAGCCACTGCTTAAGGTACAATCTTCTTCCCAAATGATTAACGATAAAAAAGAAATTAAAACATTGTCAGTGAATGTCAATTTCAAGTACAGTTTTTTCCCCTTTAAATTCTGGCATGTTGTTGCTGACCTTAACATGACTTTGGCATTAAGGTTTTCTGCAAACACTGCTGATTACACAGCGGGACGGTTGATTTTCAGAAAGTGCACACTTAAGATCCCAACAGTGACAGGCAGTTGCTGTTGAACCCACTTAGAGCCCTCCTGATGGTGAGGGAAATCAGGTGATAAAGGTGACATTCTTGGTTGGCATACTGGACTCAAATGGTAATTTAATTTTCTTCTTCTAAAGTTCAGATGGTGGAGAAAAAACTTAAACAATTTTTAATGGTCTCACCATGTCTTTCATCTTGGGAGTGTCATCTACCTTATGCCTCAAACTGTAGAAAGGCTGCTTGGTGGCTAAATGTGACACAGGTAAAATGTCAAATGCTCTTTGGATGGGTTCTTCAACACTGAACCTGCTGGATTTGAGAACATTTTTGGTTTGAATTTTAGCAATGTTAAAGAAAAGTGGGCGCTATAGATATAGATATTTTCAAGAATAAGATAAACTTGCATTTCAAGTTGTTCTGGACTTCTAGGTATTGTATCTCCTTTTATATGGGTATGTTCTTCTGTTGTATCTGTGCTCTTTCAGTACAGTGGCTTTTTGGCTAAAAGTACGACACACAGAACCTAACCGGCCACTTCTTTATCACATCAATTCTTGGATAATAGGGTCTCAGTTCTTATACTATTTCAAAGTGGGAGAAGAACAAAACAAATACTCGATTATAACAACAAGGACAATATGGACCACACAGTCTCTGTACCTCTTAGGTATGTACCTCTTAGGTATGAATAGTCTGGTTATAAGTGGATTACATGGGAAAACAGAATCTATAAGCCAATTTATTTTCTTTAAAGAGCAACAGATTTTGTTTGGGGGAACAGCACCTATTTTGTCTGTTTTTAGTTTCAAATCAGCTAACTCTTAAGAATCAAGCATGCTTTAACTGAGTACATAATATGCAACAGAACTGGTCCAGGTTCTGGGGACATCTGTAACAAAGAATAAGGTGCAGCTGCAGGAGCTGACGGTCTCCTTAGGCCAGCACTTTGGGTCACCAGAGCACTTAGCATTCGCCTCTGTTCTCTGTCTTACTTGTTTTATATTAACACTGTACGATGCCCCCGCCCCCCTAAATTGTTAATGTGATAAGACAGAATAAAGTATGTCAACATTTATCATCTGAGCCATAAACAAAACAAAGACAAAATGGAGCATTTTCATAAGAAAGTAATCTGAGGGCTGAAACCATGTTATAAGAGGAAACGTGGAAATTTAGAAGAAAATAAACATATTTAGTGCTTTCAAGGTCAAAGAGAAATAATTCTGCATCAAGGACTCTACAATTCAGTCTTTTTTCATTATTCAACCTGAAATTACTTTTTTCTGTTTTTAGCCTAATGTTGAAGGAGATACAGCAGTGGGTGTTACGGCACTGTATGGTTTCTTATAAAGTTAATAAATAGTCGCTAAAACATGGTTAGCATTATAAAAATAGTATTGCCAAGATGTACAAAAATAAAAAGGACAGGACAGAATAGAGGTTAAGGACTTAAAAGATTTTACTCAGACGTGTTGAAAATATTCCACTTTGAATTAAGGACACTACAGGTACGCAATTCTGAATGTCGAGCACGTCTTGCCACCATACAATCAATAGCATAAATTCCAGGAGTTGTGAGAGTAATTAACTTGGTGTTTCCTTGTTTTTCTTTGCAACCCAAGTAAAAGGCAGCAGAATATTACTTGGTGTTTTTTCCCACCTCTTTCTGTTACATTTATCTATTCATAGAAAATACTCTATTTCACTATCAGCTTGAAAATAAATAAAAAGCAAACCTAAAGCATAAAACAAATCAGAACATATAGCAAGAGCCTTGATTTCAAGAGGTTAATGTAAGAAATAAGATCAGAAATATTGTAAAGTAAAACAGCTTTCTAAGTCTGCAATGCTACTTATAAGCAATGAAGAAGTAATTCACTGGGCAAGATAATGAGGAATGAAAAAAAGCCGTGGCACACAAAAGTGACGTCAACACTTCTGAAGGCATCTGATTGCTAACTGGAGTCTAAACATATTCCAAAGGCTTCACTGTGGGCCAAAGTCCTGTTTACACTTTTATAGTAAAGACTTCAAATGAAAATATTTGATACAACTTTAATACTGTTCTAAAGTAACAGAGAAGAAAATGTATTACCACTTTCTGATCCTGAGGTTTCAAAGTATGCATCCAACTGTCTACTTGACATTGCTGCTTAGATGTTTAATAAGCATCCTAACCTGAACATCTTGAAAATGGAATGCTCGATTTCCACTCCTCCTGTCACTTCTCCTCTTTGGTTTTTCTGACTCTAGTTAATGGCCCTGGCATCCACACAGCTGCTCGGGCCCCAAAACTGGTGGTTTTCCTAGAGAGCTTTCCTTTTCTCATTGCCACCACCCCTTCACACAGCCCAATTTGCCAATAAACTTTGTCAGCTCTGCCTTTAGTAGCTGTCCCAAATCCAATACCTCCACACCTCCACCCTGTCACCTTTGTGCTTATAAATCATCTCAAGTGGTCACCTGATTGCCATTCATATTTCACTTTTCCATTATCTTTTTAAAATGTTAAATAATGAATGCCCCTCCCCTGCTTCTTAACATACTTCAGATAAAATCCAGGGTATTCACTTGTCCTGTAAGACTACAGTTTGTCAGGCTTCAAGACCCCACATGACCTGGCTCCAGTCTGTCTTCTGAATCTTATTCTTCTATTCCTCCCACTGGCTTTGTTCACCAGCTTATAGGCGTATATGGCTCTGCAGTAACTAAATTAATTGTGTCTCAAGACTTTTGTGAGTGTTGATCCTTGTGTCTGAAACTTTCTCCTCCTAGATCTTTTTTTGATGTTTTTCCAGTACTGGGAATCAAACTCACGGCCTCGTGCTTGCCAGGCAGGTGTTGTGCCGCTGAGCTAAATCCCCAGCCCCTCTCCTAGATCTTTGTACATATGGCTCTTGTTGTCGCTTTGTTACGATTCCTCTGACTGCTCTTTAACAATAAAAACAAAAAAAAACCTCCCTTCCTAACGAAGCACATACTCTGCGCTATCCAATATACACTGGCCACATGTGGCTACTGTGCCCCTGAAATGTCACTTGTCCAAATTGTGATGTGCTATAAATGTAAAACGTGCAGATTCCAAAGGCTTACTACCAAAAACCAAAAAATATTGCATCAATTGTTTCTGTTAATTATGTGTTGAAATGATAACACTTCAAATTACTATATTAAATAAAAATATTGTAATTGAATTTACCTGCTTCTATTTTTTCAAGTATTACTACAAGTTGAGTAACCCTTGTCTAAAATGCTTAGGAGCAGAAGTTTCTTGGATTTTGGAATAGTTACATATACTTCACTGGTTGAACATCCCTTATCTAAAAATCCAAAATGCTCCAAGTCCAAGGATAATTTGAAGTTTTGGACTAGCGATGCTCAACCTGTATTAGAAAATTTAAAAAGATGTGGTTTGCATTTGCAGATCACATTATTTTTCTATTGAGAAGACTGATCATACTATGTCATATTATTACTTTAGTTGTACTTATTTGAAATTATCTTCTTTTTCTAGTCATTGCCCCCACCACTAAAATGTCATTCCATGGGAACAGGGACCTTGAATATTTTGTTCATTGCTATACTTCAATTTTTAGTTCCCTGCTTGGTACAGAGAAGGAACTCAATAAGTAGTTGTTGAATAAATGAATGAACAACTGGAGGCTTCTAGTTCTTATTTCTCCCTTTCCATCTTTTCAATAATAGAAACTACTAAAGTTAATCAGCATATTCTGCACTGTAGTGGAAGGAACACAGGATAAGACTATGGTATCTGCAGAACTATGCTCTTCTTTTGTTTTGTTTCTGCTGTTATGCTTTGAAGTTTATTCCCAGCTGAATCTATGTTCTTGAATTATTATTTAATCTCTTCATCTGAGTTTTAAATTCCTTGAAGGAGAGGACTATAGTTCTAGTATATATACATTTTTTTCTTGAATTTGCATTAGTGAAAATAACAGTGACAGTAAAGTCTTCATAACTGCAAAGCTACCATATTTTGAGCACTTACTATGTGGCACACATTGTGCTAATTATTTTATTTATAAACTTTCTCTCAGGAATTTCCATTTAAAATTTTTTTATTTTTATTAGTACAGCTCTGCAGGACACCGATTACATTCACCATGGGGAGTTGGTATGTGATGAACAGCCATTTCCATTTTGATGAAAAGGAAACTGAGGGTTCACAATGTTACTCAGATGACCTTAGACCACGTAGGCAGTCAAATCCAGGTTATTCTGGCTTCAAAGACCATGTCAGCTCTGAATCATTACACTCACAAAAAAGCAAGAGCTCAAATGCTTAAAGAATGTCTAAAAAATGCTAAAAATCCTGCTTTAAAAAAGGACATCAACAGTAAGAACCAAAATTAGTGTGATAAGCCCCAGAAATAAGCTAGTGCACCGGCATCACAAAGTCCTGTGTTGGCCCGAGTCTTACCTCACTTCCAGATGCAAGACCAGCAAGCAGCGGTCGGCCATGTCCTGGAAAGACTTGGCAAGTTCACTCAGAGTCTGCATGATCTGCTCGGAGACAGGGGGCAGGTCCATGTTCACGTGGCCTTCTTGAGCAGGAGAGAGCACTAGAAAAAGGGGTGAGCACAAACAGCAATCATCTCTTTAGATGCCCACTGGTTTTACTGGACTATGCAGTACTTTGTTCACACTTATTTTTACCAATCTGGATGATGTTAGTGTTGGCAGCATCAGAAGCCCAAGACTTGCTGGATACAAGCTATACTTGATTCAATATAGGAGCTCAGATGATCATCTCGAATCAAGTCATAGAATGAAAGAAACATGACCTCAGAGTTGGAAGTAGCTCGCACAGTTGAGTGACTTCACCATATGTTCTGTGCTTATCTTTTTTTGTACCTTCAAGTGGCTGTTGAGTTTCTTGTTGCACTTACACAAATGTTTGTGAAAGGAAACTATCACCTTTTGAGACAGCCTTTTCTACCTCTGAAATATCTGATTCTCTTACAAGAAAGCAAGGAACTGTTGCTGTTGTCATTAACTTCTCATGATTGGCTCTGATTCTGCCTAACTCTGGTCATTTTCTTGTGTGTCAATACTTTACATATTGAAGATACCTCTATCAGTTTCCTTAAAGTCTTCCCGTCCTATGCTAAATATTCTCAGTTCTTCAATTATTCTTCAAATAACTGGATTAAATAATTTTATAATCCTTAAAATGTATTGACTGAAACATTCCAATTATTCTATAACTCCCTTGAAATGAGGAACTCAAGACAAAGCAGAATAAGTACTACAGAAGGGCCTGACTAGCCTAAAGACAACGTTTTCTAGATGTCCTGCTGCTTTCACTGCTTTTTCGCAGGCATAAAATCTAGGGGTAGAAATGGTAGTGTGCTGTATTCCACTTCAACTCATGTATGTCTTACAGCCAACTAAACGTCCTAAAAAGGTCTTTTTGGAAAATTGGATAGAGTGACCTTCTACATCTCTCCAAAATAATTTATGAAAATATTTTACAAAATATTTGAACATTTTCTTTTACAAAACACTGAACAGAAAAAAAAGTGAGTTTATTGGATTGTGTCTAGAATTCTGTTTGATTTCCAGCTCCTCACAATTTCTCAACAATAATTTGGCAATATCCTTCAAAACTTTTCTTAAAGACATATTAGACTAATACATGCATACCCATGTCCACAGCAGCATAATTCATAAATCTAAATCATGAAAGTGGTCTACATGTCCATCAACAGGTAAATGGATAAAGAAAGTATGGTACTTTCACACAATAGAATATTTTTCTGCCATAAAGAAGGATAAACTTGATTTGCTTATGGGAAAATGGATATACCTTGAATCCATAATGTTAAGGGAAATAAATCAGATGTATAGATTAAAAGTAATGATTTCTCTTATATGAGAAATCCAAAGTATAAATAAATCAAAAGTAAAACAAAAGACATACAACAGGAAATAGGAGTACAGGTCTTTGGCAAATGGGAAGGGGACCAAGGGATGGAGGGAGGAGGGAGGGGGAGGGGATGTAAAAGAAATAAGATGTTTCTCATACACACATCAGCTCCCCACAGCAAAAGTATTCATAATGCACCGCAAACATGTACTAACACAAATTTTTTTAAAATTTAACTTTAAAAAAAGTTAAAAAGAAGTCTCTTAGTACTTCACATGCTAAGTACATGAGTTCTGTTTATTTCTGCCACTCACAGTATGTGACCAAGAGCTAATTGCTTAAATTCTCTCTGCCTTAGTTCCTTTTGTAAGATGGGGATAGCAGTACTTGCATTATGAGTTTGTATAGATTAACATAGGTAAAAGAGAACAACAGTACATAAAACTTACTCAATATTACTATAGATTAGAAACAAGCAGTTTTATTATTTAGTCTATTATTTGTTCAAATTGAGTCTTAAGATTAATTACAAAATATCTCAGTCTGGAAGTTCAATTTCTATTTGTCAGTATTGTTTTGCTTTTATGTCTGTAAATCTCTCTCCCTCTCTTTTTTTCACTCTCTCCTCTCAGAGGATATAGAACTGTTTGGAAGAAGGGCAGAAGGGCTCCCTTGATGCAGGACACACGGGGGTTGGTGAGGAATCACTGACTAACTTGGAAAGTAGACTCACTTTATAGGGTGGGGAGTCAACACCTGCTTGCAGCTAGACAAGGTCCCAGATAGATGATCCTAATGTATAACTTATAAGGCTAAATTACCTTCTGTGGAGCAAGACTCTAATCAATTAAAATAATTATGATAAACATAAAAAGGCAAATGCTCAAAGAACTGATGTATAAGAAGAGAGGGACTGTAGCAATGTAGATTTAAAATTATTACCAGCTTTGGCATCATCCTACATGTGTACTAGCCCGATGAGCTAGAGGCTCTGTGATGTTAACAGTATTCCTGTTATTTGATTACAAGGCAAGATCCCTGGCATCACAATGCTTCATGTGGCAGGCCAGGTGAAAGCATCTGTAAGTAACCTTGGTATAACACTTAAAGCACTTTAGGGCTTTCCAGTTTGTAGATTCCTCTATCTTGTGAAATTACAGCAAGAAGAGTTACCTATGTACGTATAAATAAGAAAAGGCAGAAGTCAGGACCAGAAATCTCAATCATGGTCTAAGGTCCAAAGTTATGTTAATTGACCAAATTTTGTCAAGAACATTCTGGACAAAATACAACCCGAAACTGAAAAGTTATACCGTCTAACTGCAGGATAACATAACTTCATCATGTGGCAACTGGCACTGCAAACCATGGGAGAAAATCTTAGCGTAAGTCAATGGCAAGTTGAACTGCAAGGTAGGAGCAATTTTGAGCAGTGTTACACTGTATGTTGCATTTGAATATAATCTATAACAAAAATGTAACATTTTATTGATGCAATGGAAAAATTATGCCCAGAGCACTACTGAAAAGCTGGCTTGTGAATTCCTGAGGGCTGACTGAAATTTATGAAGTTTTCTTAATAAGAAAGAATAGCAAAGAAATGCTGAGTATGGCAAACAAGGATGACACAAAACAATTATCTTGCTTTGAAAAATCAAATGGAAATCCACAAAAAGGCAGCGTTGACAGATCTGTTTGGGAGATTACATTCAAGAAATTCAGTTACTGGACACCCGTCCCACCATAATTGCGCACACTCTTTGAGCAGCTATCTGATTTTCTATTTATCTCAGGGATTGCTCCTCACATCAGAATGGTTCACATGTATTGAACTTTAAAATATAGTGGTTCTACATGAGGAAGCTGAATCTTGTTCTCTCAAGCAGACACTGCTTTTTATTTGTTAATTTTTTCTTTGCAAAAACATAGTTATTCCAATTTGTTTTTCCCTTATTCAATTCTATTCTAGGTTCTACAAAGCATCTTGTTTAAATTACCAGCCCTGCTTGTAGCTAGAGGTGATCTCCTAAGTAGTCTTCTGTGACCCTTGCGACTTGGGTTTTATTTTTCCTGATAAAAGGAGAAAGCTGATGCTGATGCTTAATGTCTTAACCCTCGCCCCTCTTCCATCCCCCTTTCTCCTAAGGAAGGATCAGGAATCAGAAGAGGTGCTGGTGCCTAAAACTCTGTCTAACCATTACTACTGCTTGCATTATTACAATGTCTATGAAATAATGGCTCTTAAACCTCTTTTGATTGCTCTTTTCAAGACATCTCTACCTGTGCATCCCCTAGACATCTCCAATCCAGTGTGTTAAAAACTAAGCACTTTGTCTTCATGTGGCATCTTTTCTTTATCCTGAATTCCCTTTTTGTGAGTGATATATCAATTTAGGAATCAGTGCTGTAAACACTAGTATAATTGTTTATTCTTTCCATTCCAACAAAGACTAATTTCTGCTAGTTTTCTTTTTATTTAAAATTTTTAAACATTTATTTGCTCTGTTTTACACCTATGGTCACTTCCTTGGTTTAGACCTTATTTCTTCCATAAACTACAGCAATAAATGCCATTCACTGGTGTATGTGCATTTTGCTTGATCTCTTTTCATCTGGTTAACGTGAGTTAGATGAACAGAATTATTTATCCAAACACAAATTTGGTGATGTTAATTTCTTATATAAATCAGATGAAGGTTTCCATTGCTTCTATGATCAAATCTAAGTTCCTTACCAAGGCTTTCTGTGAGTTTTGATTTCTACCCAACCTTCTAGCTTTTCTCCAACTCTTACTAGCTTCTCTTTTTTCTCCAACTTCTCTTCTCTCCAACACTGGCCCTTTGACCTACAGTACTTTTAAAGCAAATTTCCTAAAAATAGCATTGTTTTATGATTCTGTACTTTTGCTGGCTCTTCTCTTTCAAAACTATTTATGTTTTCTAGGGCAGAGGCAGTGGCTCTTCCAGGTGTTTCTTGCTCACATCCTTCTCGGAAGTAGTTATCACATTCCACTAAAATTATCAGTATGTCTCCCTTCCAGATCACTACTTGCTTTAGGGCAAAGATTACAGTGTCTTATATATTCTTCCCTATTGTAAAGCCAGTACAATAACTGGAATCATTACAGGGTCTCAATTAATGCCTTTATAATTAAACTGAACTAAGGATTCCCATTGACCAATATAACATGACAGAGAATTCACATAACAAGTTGATAAAGATCAGAGAAAAAAGAAGGAACACTTGCCATTTATTGCTTATAACTTTCTCCTTAGTTTCCTGGGTGTAAGCTAGGGAGAGTGTGGGATAAGGAAATAGGTCATTATATCTGGTTTTCTGGGTACTCAGGAACCTTACAGAAGTACAGCTTATACAATTCTGATTAATCTCTACATTTCTTATAGATTGTGAAGTCTTTTTTAAAACCTTCATGATTAGTCAGTCTACCTTTCTGCAGCCGAGACTTGGAGTCTCTCTTGTCTTTTGACATAAAATCCTTGACATGTCAAATACTCAGCATCTCTCAAGGAAAGCCAACATACTAACTGTCATGGAGAAGCAATCAGTCTAAGACATTAGGTTGTCTCAAGTGGTTCCATATCCTAATATTAACCAGACTGAAATCTGTTTAGATCTTAAAATTAGTCAAAATTGGACTCATTCAGACCAAGAAGAGCATCTGTTTTCAAGGAT